AGGATTGGTTACGTCTGTCTGGCTGTTGCTGAGGGTTTAGTATCCTTTGATTAGTGCTCTCAATCTGTTACATATACAAAGAATAGAAGAGCTCTGTCTGAAACATATGCAATAGACCGTGAGTTCAGTACTTTTTGGAAAGTCTAGGGGGCGGAGCTAAGATATTGATGGAGTGGGTGGGTATTTTAACTTAAGATATATATATTATTTTCCAGGAAGTTAGGATGAGACACAGCGAAGGTTCCGGAAAGGTACAGCCAGGAAAAACATAACTCTGTAGCTTACTAGTAAATTATTACTTCATATTTTTTAAATAACACTAGAAATGCTAATTTAATATACAGTCTGTCATGCTATATCTCTTTAAACATAATATAGTATCAGATTGAATGAGCAAATCCAGCTGTATTCTTCTATCAGAAGTTGTTAACCACACAATAGAATTAGTCAGTACAGAATATATACCTACACTTCAACATAGAAATACTTCATGGCCGGGCTTACACCCTAGCTCATACTACTGATGAGCAGTATGTTTTAAAGTATGTATTTTTGCTCTCATAGTGTCAAAGTAGAATGTTTTTTAATGTGTTCCTAAACTGGGAATATTTTTGACTCTCTTGAGTGATTTATTTTCTGTTCTTTTTGGTGTCCTACCACTGATTTCAAATTGGAACCCTCAAATAAAGATCTCTGATTTGTCCTTAAACACCCAGCTCACCAATCCTGTCATGATTTCCGGCTCAGTTTTGGGCTAGAGGTACATTTTGTGCTTTCACCCTTCCATTTTAATTATCAGAAGATTTTTTTTCTTTATAAGCTAGGGCTCCCACTTTAATTTTCAAGTTTTTCTTACTAGTCCATCAAAAAGCCTTACCAAAATGCATGTTTTGTATCTCATTTTGTTGTTGCTCTTTCCAACTTCTCCACTAAGTCCTTCTACAGCAGTACATCAGGCTGCTAGTAATTAGAGACGTGCATATAAAAATCTGTATTTTGAAATTTTTCATGTTGCCTCTGGACGTTGTTTTGAAAGTATCTCCCAAAATACTGGAAAAAATGTTTGGGAAGTATCACTTCAAAAAAAATTGCATGTTTCAGAACCTAGATTTGAAATTCAACAAGTGGATTGCTCTGATAGCAGAACTGTGAGGTTTCCCATATCCTTGTGAAAACTTGCTCAGATTCAACAAGTTAGAATTTTCCTAAAATACTTTTATTTTGCTCATAGTCAGCTTCATTATGGAATATCTAATAAAACTATATCATCTGAATAATCTTTTTGCATTATATGTTACAACACCTAAGGTGCTATGAAATGGCTTCCTCAGTGAGCAAGATTCTCCTTATACTGTCTTCTGGTGAGGTAATTGCATGGCTAACTGCAGTGGAGAGCAATGAGGAGAAGAAGGGAGAAAGGGTTGGAGAAGGCTGTAACGTCAGGAGGGAGAAGCAGAGAAGGAAGCAGTTGAGGGCAGATAACTTTGAAGGGGCATCAGGGAGGGCCCAAAGTCATGCATAGTATAGAAGAGAGGAATGAGACAGTAGTCATGACATAGATAACAGGCTTTGCTGGTGGGGTACGTTAATTCCAACGTTGAGACAGAGCGGAGGTCAGGCTAACAAACTCCTCATGATGCTGCTAGTGGCAGGAGGAGGAAGAAGTGATGAAATGATGCTGGTGGTGGAGGATTAGCACAAGAGTAGTAAGTAGTGGCCCTACTGGATGGAAGTGGGGCAGTGATTTCCAGATGGGAGTGGAGTGGAGTATATGAAGAAAGAGGAGCAGTACTGAGGCCTGATTATAAAAATAGTTGTGATTGCTAGTGGCTGTGTGCAGGTGAGTCATATGCAGCTTGTAATCACTAAAGAACGTTTCTTCGCACAGTCAGAATGAAACCTGCAATTCTAGAATCTTCCTGCTGCCATATATCTCCTGAGACGTCGTGTGTCTCATCCCTTTCTTAGTAGATGCTCCCCATAGAGAACAATGGCCTTTTCTTTCCAAGGGCTTCTTGCTCCATCTGCTCCAGAGATAAAGCTTTGTATTGTGGGCTTAGGGATTTGTGTCTAGCTGTTTTGAAAATGGAAATCTGATTGAGTTTATTATTTTTTTTCTGAAGTGTTTTACCTTTTTAAAAAGATACTTGTTTAAGCACAGAATAAAAAATTTGAACTCAAAGTCCATGGACTCAAAGAACAGATTGCATGTGCCCAAAGTCACTGTAAAGGCATTATGATATGATCAGATTGGTTTTGGTACTTTGTTTAGAAACCTTTTGTTTGCAGATGTCACTGGATGTAGAAATAGTCAAATACAGTCTTGGAACTTCAGTGTTGTGTTTTAGAGCTGTTTTGGCATAGTTTTTTATCATGCCTTATTCATGGAAAGCAGTGTGTTACATGTAGTTTAGGAACTTGACTTTCAGCTATGCAGTTTATGTAGGTTGTACCCTTATTTATCACAGGAACTTGCAATATCACTGTAGGCTCTCATGACCTCAGGACTTAATTGTTGTAATTCCCTTTTCAGTGGATTAGTGATGAGGCTAATCTGCTGCTTGCAGCTTGTTCAGAATGTAGCAGTGTAATCATTTGTGAGTCTCAGCTACCCTGATCGCATTCAACTTGCTTTGCTTCTTTACATCAGCTACCTACTTCATGGTAGGTTAAATTAGCTTTATTCATGTATAAAGGTCTTAATGGCATGCCTCAGTCACAGTTCTATTTTATATTTTTTTTTCTGTTAACCTGAACTAATATTTCAGGTTTTGCTATAACTTTTCTAGTAGAATTCAATCTGTAGATGAAATCATCTGAATGTAGATGTGTGCATATAGGTAGCTGTGTCAAGCAGGTCTTAAACTGCGCTTATAATTGAAAGTGTAATGATGATCCAGGTGACCAGCCATTAAATTGCTGAAATATAAGCGGCTGGTGCATTTGAGAAGCATTAGGGTATTCTAAACATGTTCATAGGACTATTTGATATAACGTGATCTTTGAGACACCCTTGTCCTTTTGGACTGGCACCTGGAGGTCAGGTAGGATATTCTATGGCATATTAAATAGACCTATGTCCATGTTAATCAATTGAATCAAGCCCTAGATGTTTACTTTGAAGCAAGATGAATTGCTGTCTAGGCTCCATTGCCTGTTCTCTAGGTCTTTGTTGGCTATAACGAGAGCTTGGACACAATCTCACATGGCAGCGCCTTCATTTAGATGTCTTAATCTGAATCCTACCTGAGAGATCTTTCTTCCATGTGAATGTTATTAATGCCCCAAACCTTCATAAAGCTTTAACTATAGCATGCAGTCAGTCTTAAGTCAATCTTAAATTGGTGGATTTTGTTAGTTCCAGGGCACTTGATCTATCTCAAAGCTCAGAATGTTTTTTAAATGCAGCTACTACCTGTGGCCTCAAACTTTATCAGTTTCACTGAGATATCTTTGCTTATTTTTAACTTCATGAAATTCAAAATTATACTTGTTGTTTTTTTTTTTTGTGCCTTTGACAATAAAGGTATACTCACATAGTATCTTTTGTCAATTTAAAGGAAAATTTGTACCCAACTTCATCTTTAAACGTGTTTTAATAATAATAAAAAATTGGGTAGAGATTATGTACTAAGAATTGCATCTATTAGTTTTTGTTTCAAAGTATTTCTGTTTTGGCAAGTTTCTAAGAATGGGTAGTATGTTTGCCAAGTGTTTCTCTACTGTTCCTAGCTTAGGGAAAGTCTTTTCTAATTTCAGAGAATCTTCAATCTGTGTAACTTGGAAGGCTGTAATTTAAAGCTTTCAGATGCTAATAGTTCTATTAGCTCCCTCCTCCCTAGTCATGTGCAGATAGCTCAAGTGTAGAATATTTAACTGTTTTAACTGTTGACTTTGAGTTGATCTATGTTTAATACCTTTGAATGCTTTTCTTGCTAGTTGGATATGAAATCCAGAAGAAAACAGTTTTAGATTTAATATATCCACAGTGCTTGTGCCAAGCTAATGCAATTTACCTGATGATTAATTTTAGCCTACTTTGTTAACATAATGAAATAGTTTTTAAATGTACCCTGTATAATAAATACCATATGCTTTTCACCATAACTGTGGACAGCTGACTTGAGGGTGAAATGACTTCCCAGCACCCAAATCTTGTAGTGGTTTAGCTCCAAGGATGTGAGCGTAACACGTGATCAGGGTACCTGAGAAATACTTCAGAACCTCTGGGAGCACCAGGACATTCTGTTCTACCTTTTAAGCTGTTACCTTCCCACATCCCAAACCAAGCTATACACCCGTGGAACAGAAGGAGAGGAGAAATCTTTTTGTCTTTTGCTTGTGCTTAGCAGAAGCCCCGAAACATGGGTTTGACTTAATGACTTACTGGAGCCAAAAATGGACAAAATATACCTAGATCACTCAAAAAGATTCTTTAACAGGACTCTCTGAGCATAGGGGAAGTCTCACTTTTGTTGATGACTTTAACTTATCTGCTGTACTACTACTGCTGTATTTCTCATACATTTCCCCGTCTCTGAACTGAGTAAGGGATAATCCTTGAAGAACGGGAGCAAATGAATTAGCAATTCATGCACAGATTGAATGTGCTATCAGCCTTTCACGTCTTGATGATGTAACTTTAAATGATCTTTCTGTTAATGTACCTGTTTTGATGGAATTCCTTGCTAATAATGGATAGTAAGTTTTATAATAAACTAAATGTTTGTATTTTTCATATCTAGTTTTTGTACAGATCTTCCATCCCTTGTTTCTCCCTCGTGGGCTGGGGTGGTGGGAGTGGAAATGAGAGTAGTTCAACTTAAACTTAAACCTACAGATGAGGTGTAACACTGCAGCTTTGTATGTTCTGTTTCAGTTTTCCTTTGCTGATGTAATTAAGAGAAAGGATATTTTGTTAGATTGTGTGCTTCAGTAAATAGAGCTTTTGTTAAGCCTGTGCCAAGGAAGTGTCAATTGAAAAAATATTTTTATGTCAGATATGATTATATGAAAACACATCCTTCTGAGAAAATGCATCTAGCAGTGGTTGCCTGTGGCGAAAGACTGGAAGAGACTGTTACTATGTTGAGATCAGCAATTATTTTCAGCATCAGACCTCTCCAGTTTCATATTTTTGCTGAGGACCAATTGCACAAGAGTTTCAAAGACATAGTAAGTACCCAAATCATGTTGTTATGTATTACTCCAACCATACTACAAATCAATTAAATACATTTCTGCTAACGTGGGTGATAGTTGTTGGATGTAGTGGCAAAAATGCAGAGCTCTAAAAATAAGTTAACATGCAGGTCTTTTGTAACACTGGATGGGGATTTTAAACTTTTTTTCCTAACCTTCTTGCTTTGTGACTTTGAATTTCTTAAATAGAAGCTTGATGTTCAGAACAGAAATGAATTACCTTCTCGAGAGCTTATTTAAAATTATTTTTTTGAGAGAAAATAGAAATCTATCCTTTTATATCCATGCACTTACAGTCCGAGTTGGCCTTATGTTGTCTAAACAAAATGAAACACCAGTCCCTGAAGGTAGTAGACACCAGTTCGTGAAGGTGGTAGATGTGGTTATGTCTTATTTTAGTAACTTTCAGTTAATGAATGTAACATTATGACCAGAGTGGCATTATTAGAATTATACTAATTCACATCTGTGAAGGGTTTTCCTATTTTTGTGCTTGAAATGGCATCCTTTGAGTAATTATGCCAAAGTTGGATGAGGTTATTTTAGTTTGAGACGGACTTAATTGATGGAAACTAGTTAAAAGGAAAAAGTAAATGTTTTATTTGATGTATTTAATTTTTGTAAATACTAATGTATTTTACTTTTTATTTGTTCTTACTTTTGTGTGTCGTCTTTGATTTGTTTTCATCATAGTGCCCTGCAGATGCCACTTTCGGTTCAAGCCTTTTGAATATATGACACTTTTTTGGTAGTTTGGGAAGCATTTCTATTTTGAGAGAGAGGAGTTGCAGTTGTGTTCAGTTATCATTTTAAATGGGAAATGATTTCTTTTTTATTATAGAATTGAACTCAAGTATATGTTCTCTCTTTTTCCCCCAGCTTGATGACTTCCCCTATGAAGGAAAAGTTAATTACACGCTATATCCAATAACATTTCCAACTGAGAGTGCTGCAGAATGGAAGAAATTGTTTAAGCCATGTGCTTCACAAAGGCTATTCTTGCCAGTAAGTTTAATCTCCAATAGGACAGTACATACATCTGCTTAGGAATTGTCAAGCTCTCTTTGTTAATCTAACTTTTTTTTTTTTTAATGAAAAACTATTACTCCTAAAAATTATTTCTGTGACATCCTCCAAAAACACTCTGAATTTAACCTTATTCTTCTGTGACAGTAATACACTATGGAATAAAATTCCTTTTCTCACTTGCTCCGTTGCACAGTATCCTCAATGAGTGGTGTCTGACCTTTAGCAGGTCATGTCATTCTCTCAGAGGTAAGAGAAGTTTGTCACACCCCATCTCCTCATTTATTTGGAAAGCTTCCTGCCTGCACAGGTCTGAAGTGTCAGAGAAAAATGGAAAAAGTAGTAGGCTATTATAGCCAGTGTTTCACGCAGCCTTTTCTTTGCTGATATAAGACTCCTCAAAAATTGTACTTCAGGCTAGATGAATTGTAGCAGTGGCAGCCATCTCCCAAATACTCTCTTTTCTTTGACTCCCTAACACTTCTCTCATTGTTTGACCGGAGGCATGGGGAAACAAGGGAGCAGCAGGAAGCAGTGAGGGAGCAGCTCCTTTTACTGTAGTGTTTCACTTGGCCCACAACCTGCTCCCGAGGAGCCCCAGGATATAAAATATGGACTGAGTGCCATTGTGTTACTGTCCTACATAAAAAACCTCTCTTTCATTCTACAAAAATTGTCCAAAATGAGAGAAGAGGGTATGGTAACAAATTTTTGGCTGCAAGCTGTTAATCTAAAGTGAATTTACTTGCAGACGACAAAAATATATTGAACTTTATTATGGAAGGGAGTGGAATGGCAGTTAATTTTCCCCACACATAACTCAGTATTATGAAAAGAAGCTCAATAAAACTGTTTAAAAATTTGGTTTTAAACTTCTTTCCCTCACAGTTAATCCTCAAAAATGTGGATTCGTTATTGTATGTTGATACTGACATCCTATTTTTGAGACCTGTTGATGATATTTGGTCTTTTCTGAGAAAGTTCAACTCCAGTCAGATTGCTGCAATGGCACCAGAACATGAAGAACCTCGTATTGGGTGGTATAATCGCTTTGCTAGACATCCGTTTTATGGAGTCACTGGAATAAATTCTGGAGTCATGTTGATGAATATGACGCGTATCAGAAGAAAGTATTTCAAGGTATGTTTGTTGCTTTCATTACATTTTCAGTGTCTGTACCTCTTTTAATTCTAGTCATGTTTCAAATTCAGGTAGAACAGTAATTTTCAAAATATCTCCTTGTCTTGTAGTTGGAATAAAGCTGTAAAAGTAAGCTATGTTTAGACTGGTGGCTAGCTTGTATTTTTTTTTTTTTTTTAAAGTATCGTTCACTATAAACATGAAATACCTGCCTCTTAAATCTACTTTGTTTCTTTTCTGAATTCTGGAAGATCATGTGACTTGATGCCATCTACTGCTGTAAATTATTTTTGTCACTAGACATTTTACTGTTTTCACTTCACATTAGAGATCTCAGAAAATAATTTATAAATACTGTAAACTAGACTTTTAAAAATGTGTGCACATAGTTACATGACCAGGAGGTGGTGCTAAAGCATTTAGTAAGTTATTGTGACTATACTGTTTCTAAATTTTGATCTTTTAAAATGTAACCAGGTGCTTATCAACTTACATGTCTTTTGATTTACTTCGCCATTATAGTTTCTATAGAGAAATAACTTTGTCATGAAATTACTTCTTAAGCAAAGTATGCAGCAAGAGAAATACTCATTGCTTCACAGATGTGAGGTTTTTCCTATGTGCTTGAAAGATAAGTAGGAAAGCAATATTATGTGATTATGATAGAAAAAAACCTATTTCTCTGTATTTTACTGTACACATTAAAAAATAAGCACTGAAAGAAGTTTGTTCAGGGAAGAACGGTCATGTGGTCAGCTGTTGGAAGGGGCACCCTTAGGAAGGATAACATAAGCTTTCAGTAAACATTACCTTTCTTCAAATTTAGGGATTATTTGGCACTCATCTTAATGTTCTTGCAATATATTTTTGCTATGGAAGTCCAAAAAATTTAAAGAAAATGGAAAGAATTCTCTCCCATGTAGCTGAAGTGTGAGCTACAATAGTTATAATATTTAATTTATCCAAGAAGAAAACTTTTGTGTATATATGACCAGTGGAATCTTGTATTGTTCATTTTATTATTTGCTTGTTTTCCTAATTGTAGCATCTAGAGAAATGAAAATAGTGAAAGGCAGTGTGCTTATAAGAGAAAGAATATGGGACTGAAAACTGCATGCATCTTCCACATCTGACAATGCACTTCTGTATATTGCAGTATTTTCGATATGGTAAACTGAGATAAGGATGGTCTCTCATTCATGCTCTGAGATTTTCAAAAGTACACAAGTTGTGTAGGATACTAAAAATGTCTTTCAAGGAGACTCTGGTTCTTGAGAGGATAAAAAAAAAAGTGCCTTTCTCTTTAACAGCTAAGACTGGTGGTTTCTTAAAATTTAAGTCTGTATATGCAAATTTAGATAAAACTGTTCATGAATATTTAGAACTTCAGAATGGAACACTGCAGCTCTCCCCTGCTAGCAGAAGTGTCTTCCAGGACCTGAGGATATCTGCTGCATATTTTTGTTCCCAGGCTTTGTATTTCTTATGCAATGAAATCTGTCAGGTTGATAAACTAAAACCAAACTGGCAGATGAGCTTTTTAATAGTTGCTCTTTATTATGGAGGTGAATATCTATGTTTTATAAGACCTCAGTTGTTTAGCCAGGCTGGTTTACAATTAAAACAAGGCACAAATTTATACACCTTTCTCAGTGTCCCGCTGGCAAACTTCAGTATGCCTAGGACGTCCAATTCCTTTGGCTATGTGGGCCACTGAACTTTCTTCTGTGTTGAGGAAGATTGTATGACGTAACTGGCACAGAGAACTGGAATCAAAAACATCCTGAATTGTTGTGGGTGAATGTAAAATAAAATCCATACCTTTACAAAATCAGTCCTATAAAGAGCGGAATTGCATGGGGGCTAGAGCCTGATAAGGAGGAGAATGTAGTAAAGCACTGTTTATTTGAAAAACCTTTATTAAGACAGAATAGAAAGAGTTGTCTAGACAGCTTTTTAAAGATACAAAAATTCTCAGAACTTATATGTTCTCTGAGGAATTTGTTAGTTTTCCTGGATGGATATAAACAAGTTCTGACCTCCCTAGAACACAACGAAGCATGTTCTCGTTCTAGTGTATCTTACTGGAGCGGGTTAAGAAATGGGACATTGACAGTATCTGTAAGGTCTGCAAGTAGTTGCAGTCTTGAGGGCCAGACCTATTGCAATACTCCCTTGGGCCTAGGAGCTCATTTGCTACCAGTAACAAAGGGAAGTCATATGCTCTCAGGCCTACTGTGTAGTAGTCTCAACTTCAGTAAGCCCTTCTTGAAGTTTTGCTGTGTGCCCTGCAATTTTTCAGACCAAAGAATCCCTTTAAGATGTTCAAGGAATCTGAAGATGAAAAGTGTCCTCCGCAAGCAGAGTTTCTGTAACAGAGCTTGTGCATCCTAGGGCCCTGTGATGCTAAGCAAGTAAATACACTGGCTTGTTGGACCACGCTCTAGGTAGTGGGGCAGCATAAACTAAAGAGAGGTAGTCTCCCTCCTGAAACAGTTCTGAACCTCCCAATACCAAAGCCTCCATTGGTAAGTATGCTGGCCACTGGTAATAAGGTCTAAAGAGAAGTCAAAAAGTCAGTCACGCTAGAGAAATCGTCCATCCCTACGAATTCAAAGCTTGAGCAAACAGCAAGCATCGCATTTGGTAGGAATATAGAAAGACCTGGAAATGAATATCCACAGCTATATGCTTATTTGCTTTACAAGGGCCTGAGAGGTGCTAGGATGAAGTTTTAACTTAAGAAATGTATCCAGAAAGGACATTTCATAATGCTTCAGCTGAACCAGAAGATCAGTATATGTCAAAGCACCATGTATCCAAACAATTGCCCTGTATTTCTTGCTTGAGGTGATCATTGTAAGACTCCAGGTAGGAGGTACCTGATGATGAAAGCAGGAAAAAAAGGTACAGCAAGGGAAGGAAAAAGATGAATTTAACGCCAAAAACAATTTTTTGGGAACCAAGATAAAACTGCACACTGAAAAGAATTGGTATTCAAAACATACTTTTTTTACTTACACATCAAACAAGAGGGAGGTAATATTTCTTTATGTGCATCACTAGTCTCAAATGCTTTAGGAATAACTGCAGTCCGTACAGGAGCATTCCTGAAGAAGTATGAAGTCCAAGAGACAGAAGATGTGCAAGAACAAGAGCCAGAAATATATATGGGTAGGACAGGGAAAGGGAAGTCTTAAGCTTCAAAAGAGAGTAAAGCCCTGTGAGGATAACTAATGGCGAAAGGCAGAAAGTACAGTATTTCTAACACTTCTAACAATTGGAGTGGGGGAGGGGAAAGAGATATTTGATTGCATTTTCTATTTTTATTAACTAAAGCCTTCAGAATAGGCTTGGAATCACCTGATACGCTGTTGCAAAGCTTTGCTGTGCTTCTGCCTCTCTTGTTTAAGTGCCTTTCATAATACTGAATGTTTGGCGTAGTTGCACAGCACTGGGTAGTTACCCCCAATCTCAGTTCTTGCCCCTTAGTGGTATCAATGATCAGTCTGCAATTATTCAAGCAAACTTGCTTGCTATAGTCTATACTGGACAATTTGAGGAAGAGCAGTAAGATGAATGCTTGGATATGCTTTTGGGGAGCTTTAACTGGCTAAATTTTGATAATTTATTAATGTCAGTCTTATAGACTGCATGTGAGACTTGAATTTCCTTTAACTAGCTCAGAGACATCTACTTTTTGGAAGGAAAAAAAAAAGTGAATCCCAGTGAATTTGTTAATTTCTGTCTTCAGGGTTAAAATTTCTTGTCTGAGGTTCAGCTCTTGCCTTTTGAGAAATCAAGCTTGCTTGAAATGGGACTGATCAAGCCTTACACCACTTAGACTTGGAATTTATTCCAGAAGGGAATTGTTTGCTCTTTAGGGCATGTTCCCTTGCCAGTTCTTCACCCTGTATCAAATAATATGCCATTTTTTCCCCTAACTATTTTACCCTACCTTTGGGTATCAGAACTTGATCAGAATTCTGGAAGCATTTGCCACATTGCTCTTAAATGCCAAACTTTAAGAGCAATGTCTGGGAGATAGATGGCGCTCATTGTTGCTTAGCTTCTTCATCTTCAGTGTCCACTGAGTATGGATATTAGTTGGATTTCTGAAGATGCAAATTTTCTTGTTCCAGTAACTAAGTTTGACATATGTCCTCATATATGAACCTTGAAGGAGAAGCGGGGCATGTTTTTAGGATTTAGTAGGTGAGAAGAACAGAGGCTGTTCTTAGTGCCTGACACACAAATAAATAAGGCAAGAGAGATGAGGCAGAAACTGGATAAGCAATCTACAATACTGCCAGCTTGAAAGAGTCTGATACCAAGCCCTTGTGCTGTTCAACATCTGTAGTAAGTTACACCTGGAACAAATGTTCTTGCTCTTTAAAGTCAGATAAAGACATGCACAATCACACAGAATGGTTGAGGTTGGAAGGGACCTCTGGAGATTATCTAGTCCAACCCCCCTGCTCAAGCAGGGTCTTCTAGAGCACGTTGCGCAGGATCGCGTCCAGGTGGGTTTTGAATATCTCCAGTGAAGGAGACTCCACAACCTCTCTACGCAATCTGTTCCAGCGTTCTGGCACCCTCACAGTAAAGAAGTTTTTCCTCGTGTTCAGATGGACTTTCTGTATTTCAGCTTGTGCCCGTTGCCTGCTGTCTTGTTGCTGGACACCACTGAGAAAAGTCTGGCCCCATCCTCTTGACAATTTTTCTTCAGATATTTGTATACATTGATGAGATCCCCTCTCAGCCTTCTCTTCTCCAGGCTAAACAGGCCCGGCTCCCTCAGCTTTTCCTCTTAAGAGAGATGCTGCAGTCCTCTCATCATCTTTGTAGCCCTCTGCTGGACTCTCTCCAGTAGTGCCGTGTCTCTCCTGCTGGGGAGCCCAGAATTGGACACACAAGTGTTTTAGTTAGCAATAGCTTTAATTAGTTTTAAAGGCAGATAGACAAGGATCTGGTTGAAAGACAGTGGAAGGTGATGATGTAGCTGCAGTATGGTAGTACTGTGTTCAATTCTCCAACCTGTGGGAAAGATTCTGTACAACGCATCTTGGAAATATTTAAGCCCCAGTTGTGCACCAAGATTTTGACACTAGCTGGGCACTAAACCACTCAGACTGGGGCTGATTTAGGCATAACTTGTATTTACCTGTGAAATTTAAGCCTCAAATGCCTTGTCAGCATAGGTAGCTCCAGAATTAGCTATTAGCTACTAGAGGGAGGAATTCTGCTTAACCTTTGTTGTAATCTGGAATTTAGCAATTGCTGTGCTTCCAGATTTTGGAGGTATCCATCATACACTGACAGTATTAGATTTTGGTACTCCTAAGCGCTTTATTATTAGGTGATAGACCTCTGCATTTTTCTGTAACTAACTAGTGGCTAATATGCTTGGGGGTGTTAAGTGTCTGTCCTCTGTTGTCACGATGATTTGCAAGAGTCAGAAGGAACCAGAATACATAAAATGAAGAACTTGACAATGGCTATGATGCCCTTCTGGGTAGTGAAAAACCACATACTGCTCCAGGATTAAGTTTGTTTTCATCCGGTTATTTATTCAAAACTTAATGTTCTGCCAGATGACTGCCAGATCTCTTAGGCAAGCTTTCTAGCCGCTTGGCTGCAGTGCCTAGTGGAAGTTGTCCCTCTTTGCCCTACTATCTTATTTATCTTTTTTTATGTGTTTTATGAGAATGTATGTGTATATACATACATATGTGTATGTATATGTGTGTGTGTACATATATATAAAAAAGAATACAGTAGTAGAGCGTGTGCAGTTGCCTTAAGAGTGCTTAGTTGAAGGTAAGAGTATAATTGGTAAAGAAGCTTCTGATGGATAGTGCCTGCCTGTATTCTAGTTTAAGCAACAATTAGAAAATGGGAATGCAAAATATGGCAGAATGTTTAGGAGGTGGAAGAAGTAAAGCAGGTCACTTTTGTTTGTATTTTATTACATATAGGTACAGATGCTTTTAAACTGGAAGAGACATAGCAGATACCACAGAGATGATGATTAAACAAAATGCTGTAGACCAATAAGACTGAATAGAGAGCAATGACTTTTAGCAAAATTCATAAAGAAATTTAAGTGTTGCTATACTTAAGTGTTACAAGGCTTGAGACTTAGGCAGCTGTGGAAAGGAATGAGCTCAAAAAAAGAAGAAAAATCTCGAACGATAACAAAAACTCCGGATAGTATGGACAAAGGAGAGATTCATGGGTTTGCTTAAGACATAACCTCCCTGAATTTTGGTCTCTTAAAAGACTTACGCCATTATACGTAATTTTTGTGATTTCAGGATTGCTTAAGGCTATACTTCCGAAAAATATGATGAACCCACAAAAGCTAGTTCTTTTAAAAGGGAGATCCCTGTCTCTTACCTGCTGCTTTCTCCTGCTTTTGCTGTTTACTTTGTACTAGCCTCTGGTCTTTGTGCAGTCCTTCCATGATCCAATTAAGGTTAGTAACAGAAAAAGAAAGCTTTCTGCTGGGTTAGTGAAATAAATCAGCTCACAAAAAAATCCGCTAAGTGTTAGCATTACATTGTTAACGCAAGAAAAAGATTGCATCACGTAACCAGAAGGGAAGGAAGAGAGCTTTCTCTCATTTGGTATTAAAGGAGTTTAAAAGTGGGTCAGTTGTTTGTGGAACTGCAGCTGCAGTTTCTTTGGATATTGTTGTAAGATTTATTTGAATATTTTCCCTCAGCATTGTATTTTCTTGCAAGAATTAAGAGGGAGGTAATACTAGGCGCTACAGTTTAAACATGACAGCTTTGGCAAGGCAGAAGTCCTCTGGGACGGAAATCGGTACTGGCCAAACTAATTAAAGCAAAACATTATAATAAAAACATTTCAGAGAATATCTTAATTTCTTTATGCATGTTTTGCTCTTGCTTAACGTTTATTCCTCTCCATTTGAAAAAGGTGGGACTTTGAGGGTTCATACAGCCTATCTGTATCAGCTTAATGGCATCTCAGAATACCACAAAAATGCCCATCGCTGTGTTTTTTTCTTCTTAAACCTCTTTAACCTTCTTTGTAATCTGTTGGATATTGGAGATCAGTTTTATCCTCTGGAAACACTGAAGTTATTATGTAGTTACTGTATTTTTCATATTTACTTGAGTAACTTTTGAAGAGCTTCTGTGTCATCAATTCTGATTGAATTCAGGCATTGTACACGTTCTGTTTAACCTCACTATGAGTTAGATTGGAATTTTGCACAAGGAGGTTATGTAACCATTTGAATAATTTCCCTTGCTCAGTGTGATTCCTACACTGGTTTTATTATACATCAATGTTAATATATTAATATATTACTCTTATCTATTTATATAAAGGTTATTGAAATATTAGAACTGTTTGTCAAGTAGTATTAACTTCTAGACAGCTGGCAATGTGATTCTATGCTGTTATTCACTTTATATCTCTCTGGGATATATTCTGCATTTCACTGCTATTAAAACTGCATGGGTTAAATGAAAATTATATGAATTGATGGCTCTAACAATTTAAAGTAATATCTTTATGGGTTGCTCTAAAAATTTTTTGACGACTTTATGCTCTCTTATGATTATCCTGGTAACAGTGAGCTAATTCAATTTGTTTTTTAATTTGAGTCTAAATTTAAGCCTTAGGCCCTTCACAGAACACTGACCTAATTCAGGTGAGGGTGTAACCTTTATACGTTGTGCTTCAGTCTGATTTGCTTGCTGGAAGGTTTAGCTTGGTGATAAGCCTGTGTTTTCTTTCGCTTAATCACATTGCACTGATCCTAGTGATGGCTCTTGCTAGAGAGGAATTCTCTTGCGCGTTTCTCATGCCTGCTCTCGTCAAATACTTGCAAACAATCACAGTCATAAATTTTTAAGGGCAGAATGGACTGTAATATCATTGAGTTTGGCTTCTTACATAATATAAGCTATAGATCTTTTTTGCAATAGTTCCTGCCTGAAGTCTGATAGTATTTCTTTTTTAGACTTTGTTTTTGAAAGCCCTTGATATTTGATGGCTGAAATGATTTGAGGAAAGTCTTAAACACTGAACTGCTAATTTCTGTGCTTTCTGATTTGCCAGTGAAAAACTTGGAAAGTCTTTGATGCTAGGATTCAAAAACTGAATATGATACCCCAGGTAATCCCTTCTGTTTCTTAATGTGGTATTTCTGTAGAAAGATCCCAAACTGTGCTGGAGTTCTAATTTTATTTTTTTGCCAGCTTGGTTAAAGAGAATCAAGAGTTGTCTATACTCTTTCAGGAATGTTCTTCATATGGATCCATTGTTATTCCATGCTCATTCTTCCAGCTGAAGTGGAAGGTATTAAGTGAGCAGGCTTGTTCCTTTTCTGTTCTAGCTAAGCATAAGTATGGTGTAAAGAAAGGGAGTCAACGTTAGAATATGTAACCTGTTATAGTGCAAATGATAAGATATTTGTGGTAAGGTGGAGTTCAGATGCAGGCCTGCTTACTCTGAGGGTTGGGCACCTCCTCTGCCCAACCCTTAGAAGAACTTCATTCTCCTTTTCCCGTGATGTTTGAAGCACAAGGGTGTGACTTGAGCTAAATCAGGAATGTGGAAAATAAGAAACAGCTGTTGCATTACAGTCCTAATACCCTTTGCTAGTGAAAAAATGTGCCTTTGTTGTGGAAGTTTATGTTGAGTAACTTAAAAATTAGTTTGACTTGATGAAAATCTTTTGAAAACCTTTTCAGATTTCTATATTTTTATGCGTTGCTTTATAGCTAATCTTTTACAGCTGTATAATAATTAATTTTATATTAATCTGCTTTGACTGTTTAAAGTTAACTTTCAAACCTGTGGTTCAAAACAGCATGTGGTGTCAGCCTCTGATAAATACAGAGAAATTGCATGAAGTGTGAAATCTGAAGAGTGGTGGTTTAAATAGTGCCCAGCTAATTGTATACATCTGTTAAAAGTAGTTTTTGTGTTAAGAGTCTACTACTGTATTAAAAAAACCCACAAAACTTTGCTATTTCTTAGAACTTCTTTGGTTTAAGATGTTTTCGAGGGAAAACTTGAAGACAAAAGTATTTGGCAGTTAAATAGGAGATGTTTATGATTTTGCTTACCCTAAGACAATTTTTAAATGAGAAGTAAAGCACATTGGAGGTGTCCATAGCTATTTCCGTTAGATGTGATTGTTTCTTTAAAACAAATAAATTCTTACGGAAGTTGGAGATTTGTAGCTTTGAAAAGCAAATTACTATGATTCTGTAGGGCTTCTCCCTTACAGGTGTAATTATCATGAACGCGTGTACATTTTACTTTGTTTTGTTTAATAGAATGATATGACAACAGTCCGGTTACAGTGGGGAGAAATTCTTATGCCACTGCTGAAGAAGTACAAGTTAAACATAACGTGGGGTGATCAGGATCTATTGAACATTATATTTTTTCACAATCCAGGTAAATCCACATCTAAGTCTAGCATGACAAAACTAATATTTTGTATGATGTTCTAAAATCCAGAAAAAATATTCTTTTCATAGACTTTTCAGTGAAAGTGCTGAAGATTTTTCTTTTTTTCCCCTTTTTTTAAAGAACATGGTTTACTTAGATTTTGAGAGAAACTGTTAAAGCTTACTAAGTGTAATTAGTTGTTAAGTTTCAAAACAACTGTATGCAAATATATAAAGTAGCCTTAGAAAGAAAAAAAAATTAATGTATTTCTTGAAACAATTTTGATGTTTAAGCGAATGTTCTTATGATTTTTCTGAACAGAAAGTCTTTATGTCTTTCCTTGCCAATGGAATTATCGACCTGACCACTGCATTTATGGAAGCAATTGTAAGGAAGCTGAAGAAGAAGGTATATTTATTCTTCATGGAAACAGAGGTGTTTACCATGATGATAAACAACCGACTTTTAGGGCTGTGTATGAAGCAATAAAAAATGTAAGTGTATTCAGCATTTTACCCGTACGAAGTTATTTGGTATGTGTTTTTATCTCTGTTGCTTCATATATTTTGTAGATTTTGTTTATCCTCGCTTCGATTGCAATAGAAGTCATGTTTTTTCCTGTTTTATTTCACTGATTTCGGTCACTTGTTGTTTGGATAGAATTCCAGTTTATTCCTTTTGCGATTAAAATCTTTGGAAACATTATATAGACCATATCTAGATTAGGGTTCTAAAATGTTACCTGTAACCATCATATCTATTTAAAAATCTTTGTCCCTTTTCCTTTAATAAATGTATCTAATAAACTATGTTTGTATTAGCATGTGGAAATTGGCACCTGAAGCTTTGTTTTGCTGGAGATCTTAAAATGCAGAAAGAAACCTTCTTCATCCCAAAGGCTGTATATACTCCCTGCAACTTTTTAACATTTAATTCTAGCTAGACTTGGATGCTAGGAAACAATTTTTAATACTGTATTTTGATCTCTGCTGCAAATTCAGTGTATTAATATGTGGCTGTTCCTTTAAATACTAAGCACAATGACTTCTCGTTCTGCGAATAAGTCTTCTAATAAACTATTTATCACTACATCAGTGTACTCGCTGAAGAGCTGTAAAATTTAGCACTGATGCGCATTTTAATGTAGCAGGCTATTGTGTGTGTATAACCTTCAAAAATCAATACTATATTTTAATGATGCTTTATTGCATGTTGTCATATAGATATAAAAATGAAGAAAAGTACTTTTGGGGGTCTGAGAATAGATTGCACAGAAAGTGAATGTATTTCCATAAAAATACGATTTCTTTGTTTCCTTTGAGCATTGTCAAAAACAGAAGAAAAAAATATTTCCTTTTATTTATGATCCTATTTGGTTTATGAATATGCCAGGGAGAGTGTATAAAACATTGTTAATCCACTGGTAATAAGATAAACAAAATTATGTTACTTTGAAATGCTGTTTTAGGCTATAATTTGTTTATAAAAAATATTGCAGTGCTGAATTACTGACTTCTTTATTTCATGTCCATGTTAAACATAGTATGTGTTTGACCATCATTCAGTTTAATGAAACTTTCTGCTTTCGGTAGTGCTACTTACTGTTCATACTGCTGTTTCATTATAATTTGGTAAGAATTGTACTCTTTAAAAGTTATATTTCATTCAGGAAAGCAACTGGTCACCAAGCATAAATATAAAACATTTTGATCTGTAAATTTTTAATTTAGTAACTTAATATTTAATTTTCTCCTTGCCTGTCTGGATATGTTCATTTGCTTATCCAAAAAAAAGTTCATCTTTTAGGCTTATTGAAAGCATTGGAGAATATTTATGTAGTGTAGAGATGACTTTTTAAGTATTGTATTCAGAAGGTCTCCGTGAGTTCTTGAAAACATCTAAATTCTATAAAAAGCAGGTATAATGTTCTAAGGCGTTTTTGTAATGTTCTTAGCAACTTTGAAAAATGATGCTCTTTACTACTTTAATGTTTTTATCTTATCCTCTTTACAGTATTCATTTGGAGATGACCTGGTTCATTCCCTGTTACAGCCCCTAGAACTGGAATTACAGAAAACAATGCGTACATACTGTGGAAGAGTATACAAAGTATTCATAAAGCAGCTAACAAAAAGCATAAGAGATTTGCATGATAGAAGATCAAAGGGAAGGTGATTCTTACTCCGAACTTTTAAAATAAGAGACTGAATTTACATGCTGTTTGCAAGGTGCAGAAGATCTAATATGGCTTGAATTGCCTCTTAATGTGCCCAGATAAAAGTTTACCAGTATACATACAAATGAAGAGAATATTTGTGTTGTGAAGAACAGGAACTTTTTTTCTGCAAAGGTGACTTTTTTACTCTTTTGAAGTTTAATCAGTGCTAATGTTTATCTTGGATCTGATGAGTTTAGACATTACTGCTGTTTGTGGTCGGTAGTTTTAGTCTGCGTAATTCAGTTATCTTTAATGATCAAATGAACGAGGGGAAAAATGAAGATGGCTGTATTTGGGGAGTGTACCTCATATTGTCTAAAATTCTGTTAAACTGTGAATATAGCAATAATTGAGTCAGCAGCACTAACCTCACTTTAAAAGTGTGAGCACAAAGTTGTTTACAAGTGCAGAAAATACTCTGTTTTCAAAGGAATGTGATATAACCATTGACAATCTATATGTGCCTTTATGTGTTCATCTCTTACATGTTGAATTACTGTTTTGACAATCTTATTTCACTTATTTTAGATGTAAACTGCACACTATAAATAAGATTTTCAGAGAAATGAATGACTAGTATGTGATACTAGCTTTTCCTGTCTGTAGATGCTGAGACTTTATTTTAATATACAGCATTTGTTTCAAGGTCATTGAGCCATCTGCCCAAATGGTATAGTTGAGTTGTGGGTTTTTGGCTTTTAAGAAAAATGCAATATGAAGTTGTTTTTCTTACAATACTTTTTAAAAAATTATATGGCTTTGTAGCTTTGCAGGGCATTTTTGGAAGTAGAAAAAACACAGTGGAATGCTATCTCTGTTTTATTTCGTTACGAAGAATTATTATGTGATGATTATTATGGAGTATTTAGTACCTGAAAGTGAAGAGCTGTAATAAGAGTGCTGATGCTTTATCAGACTGTATAATGGATGGGTTCCTTAGAGGGTATATCTTGTTACTATATATTTTTAATAATACGACTTTAAATTTGTCTTGGACCAGATCCTCACACCATTATTTCAGTAAAGTCAATAGGGTGGTAGTGATTTACAACAGATAAGGATTAGGCTCTTCTGTAGTTTTATTAATGAAAAAACATGTTCTGTTGCGTGATATAAATTTCAGAGAGAAGCACATGAAGTAAAAGGCTGTGTTCTAATGTAACAGTAAAATATTATTTAAACTTGCATGGTATGAAATGTGTTTTTAAAGTATACTTGAACTGAATTTGGATAACCTAACTGAGATGAAGTCTTCATAAAGTGTTTTTTTGGATTTCAGAGAAGTTCCTGTGCATTGAGCATTGAAGATCCTCTCATTGACTTGCACCTTCATCCCAACCCCATCCTAGAAACTTATTTTTTGTGGCCATTTCTTTGTCAAAGGCTGCCTTTCTCCAATGAATCTTAGATCCATGTGAGCTAGGTGAATGCTTTAGCAGTACAAATACACACTACATTGTAAATGGAGCTTGTATTCTATTCCCAGACCCTGCTGGCTCAGGATGTAAATGTCTGGGATAGAAAATGGAAGACAGTCCAACTTGCATGTAGTTATGATTTCTTTTCCTTGTTATGTAATCTTTCTAAGTCTGAAAATCTAGAAATCTATGTGAAGGTGAAAACTGTTATTGATTCATTTATAACTTGCAATGCATTATTTTTTTTTACATAAATACTGATTTTGTATCAGTTTGTCTTCTGCTTTTTTTTTTTTTTACTTACGTTTTTATATTTACAAATTCTTTCCTTTGACCTTTTTTTCTGTATTTGTTTTGCGGAAACATTCAGTTTTGAATTGAATTTCAGTATGTTTTATGTATGTGAAGATCTTGCTTAAAACCTGTGAGGCATTTTAGATTTAAAAAAAAATATATATGGATTGTGACAATTAGCAGCAACCTTTAACTTAAGTTTCAGTTTTTGTGTTAGATTGGAACAAAAAAGGTTAGTATTGAAACATCATAGGATAGAGACTTCTTAGTGAGTCATGCTTATTCCAAGAGATGTACATTTAGCATATTATAAATAGCAGAATATACTGCTTTATGCTGTAGTTTTTGTTACAGTTTGGTATTATAATCTTAAGCCTCTCACCCTCAACTCTCTGCTTCCCAAGTACACTTGTACATTTTGGGAAAGTTTAAAAAGCAGCAAGTGCTTAGTAGTGAATACTTCCATTAACAGCTCTCCAGAATATTTGTCTGTTTTAAATAATTTTTCGGTTTTGTAGTACTTAAGTTTTAAATTTAGAAAGATGATCTACCTGTTAACCCTTCCCCCCCCCCCCCCCCCCCCACACAACCAAACAAAATATGCATAGCGAAAGTAACATAACAGAAACCAGTTACATTCCCAAGCATTTCAGTACTTGTTTGTAGGCTTATATGCTTATATAGAAACATGTGTTAGCATGCAAATCTTTTTATTGCTCTCAAGTTTAAAAAACATTTTTTTTCTGCAGGCGTAGTAAGTAACCAGGCAAATAGGACCTAACAAATTATGAAACTATAGAAATCCCATTTTCTCTTAGTTGTTAGAAAATTATTTAATGTTAATAGAAACATGAGAATTCACAGAAAAATATAAGCCTCAGAAAATGTACATTTTAGATTGAATTAAGATAAATCTCTTTTCATTATGCTTGATTTATTTCTGTATCGTGACAGCATTATCCTATCTCTGTTTAAAGGGATTGCAGTCTGCTGTTAGAAGAGATTTATTTGAAGATGTGTAACCTCATTTGTATGAAATTCCATCCTTCTTTGTAGGTTGTACAGAAGACCAATTCTGCCTTAATGAGATTGGAACATCTTGACATATGCAACTTGTAGCTATGGCTATATATAAGGCAGTATAAGCCTTATGAAAATGTTTTTCCAGTTATTTGTAGTTTTGACAAAATTTAGTTGGACTGACGACGTCCTTGATGCCTACCTCCGTTGAACTGTTCTTGATAATCTTTCGATTTAAATTCAGAAGGATTCAGAAAAGAGATTTAGGAGAGAACTATTTAATTTTTTCCCTTTTTCTGCTTTAAACAGTTTAAAGCAATATGGAGTTGCCTTTTGCTGGTTTTGACCTAAATTTGATCAAGTAAAAAGCCTCTGGCAGATAGCTTTCTGGAAAACTTAAGTGCCAATATTTTTGTTAAATTTGTACAAAGATTATGTCTATGCTAGATGTGCTCCAGCCGCACGGACTTTCTATGCCTCAGTCTATGCATTTTCTGTAACAGGATGACTGACAAGACTCCAGTCATCTTTCTCTTCCTCCTCCTAAATTACACTTCCCATCTAGACAACATGGAAAAGGAAATAACTTTTTTTTAGCTTATTTGTAGGAAAGTTAGACTTCTAGTTTCTCTTTTCTGGTTTATAAAGATGTCTGCAAACACATGGGCATATCAAGAATGTCTGTTACCTAGCAGTCTTGTGTAAGTTGTTTTTTTTAATTCTCTAGTTCTATTTCAAGTTAAAGGATTTTCCACTATCAAGCAGTTTCGCAATATCTGTTTGTTAGTTACACAACACTATATTTTCTTTGACTCAGTTAAATGGTATACTCCTGTATACAGTAAACTAACGTATAGGCTACTCGTACCTCTAATTGTTTTGTTTTTAACAAATAGTCCATTTTGAATAGTGATTATTTTCACTTTCTGTGCTGTAGCACTTAGTGTGATTATCATAATTGTCATAGCTTTCTGGCCCATTTCAGTGATCTGTAAAAGGGCAGGACTCGGAACAGTTCCAGTCATTTTGTGTGCTAAAATAAGTTGCAGAGAACTAAACTGTGAAGGTATGGCTTTTTCTTTACCAGAAGAAAATAGTTTCTTTTGTAGAATGTAGAAATACGAAGTAGTAGGAAGAGCTTTCTTTTCACCATGGATCTTGGTACAGATTTTGGATCCATCTTAAACTTTTTCTCTTGTTGCCAGTCTAACCACTTCTTTCTGTGCGTAAAAACATTCGGGTGTGTTGTATTATATATTTCTTTTTTAAAAGGAACCTTAAATATTTTTCTCTCCATGTTTTCAGTCTCTCTGGATATCTTCTGTTGTTTTGTTTCTTTGTTGGCACTTCAGTTCTATCCAATTTATCCAATTTTTTTTCAGACAGGTGAGAATAACTTTAAAAGGAAATCCTATAAAGTTTTGCACAAATAGCGGCTAAGCTATTTGTCCAGGTTGGCAAAGCATGAACCCAGCAAGTCCAATTAAAACATGAAATACTGATGTATACACACAACCCCTTAAAAATAAAAATATGTTGTTTGATCTAACCTTAGCTCTACAGAGAAATGTTTACAACTTATTTTCTATATTTGAGTTAACTACCAATTCTGCTTCACAGTTGCTTTGTAGTCCTAGTAGGCTACTAGGAACTAACACTCAGAAGATGTTTGCAGAGCTAACAGTGAATTTGAGTTACTTCAGGAAATGAGGAGAAAACCTCATTTTAAAGTAGTTCTCAAAATCTCTGTCTTGTAACCAGTTAATGGATCTATATAAGAACAGCTTATCCTTCCAGGTTATCATAAAATTCAAGATGCATAGTTCTCCAGTGTTTTCTAAGCCTTTGGCCTATTAAATTTTCAAGGTTCTTGAAGGGAATATTAAGTAATTAGAAATTCTTCTGTTGAATAATTGTAATTGTGTCTTTTCCATTTTGCTGTTACTTTATGCACCACTGCATTCAATTCTGTAGAGAATATCCTCGTTTCAACTTACATGAATGTGCATCTTCCTGAATACTTGCCTGCAAACTTTTACGTGACTTCTTTCCTCCTCCTTTTTCCTCCGCTGCTTTTAGGTAGGTAATCACTATGCTCTTTTTCCATTGGAATGTTTATAAAAATTAGGGGAGATGACGTGACTCTTTTTGCAGACGCTTGTAGTGCCACTGTAGCTTGGAGGTTTTCTGATGAAATGCAAGTTCTTACTATTTGAAACTTATTATTACTCGAATGTACTCTGTACTTTTACTTGGATTAATATAATTCTTCCCCCTGTAACTTAAGCTTAAGTGAGGCAAAGAACTTCGGATCTCTTAAATAGGCCTGAAAAAGTCCCTGAACACTAGGCTACTGGGAAACTGATAGGCTATGCTGGGGAAAAATTACTGTATGCTTATCTTGTTCTTATACCCTTACGTAAGAACCTACTACTATCCCAAAACAGGCTATTAGGATAGGAGGAAGTTCTGAGCATCTAGTATGGCTGTTATGTTCCTCAAGTGATCATCAGATAGGTTCTTCCCTGGATCAACTAATGCGGTCCCTGTCCTCTCTTATGATGGACGTTCAGCTGTTGTCTACCTGCCTCATCTAATTTAGTGCGATTTCTTTTAATTAAAGCAGTAACTGTTGATTCTTCTAGATCTGGGTTTTATATACACTTCCATATCTGGGTGCTGCCATAGTTGCAGAAACCAGGGCACCAGTTTGTCGAAGTATATACTTTTAGATGTCCATCTTCAGTTTCATTTCTCTACATGTTTTAGTTTCCAGTCAGACCCTTAGGGATAAAGTAGTGAGTGAGATAACAAGGAATGCAAGATTTTTCACAACAGTTTACCCCTGAGAAGAACTAGAGACTTATAGCTCTCTGAAAAATAATCAACAGTATTGAAATAGCATTCTGTGCTTGAGTCTAATTTCTGATCTGGTAGGTGTGAGAGTTGGTTAGTATCCTCGGTTCAGTCAGGCCTTAACTACTACTGTGTCAGTTGCTTATATGGAGTGAAGGTCAGACATCTCTTAAAAACTGTTCCCCTGTTGCCTGCAAACTCCAAGAAAAGGAGTTCCTCTTTTACCGTAGGAAGTCATTGCTGTAGGTCCTCTGTATCCCCCCCCCCCCCCCCCACCACAAACACCTGTCCCACTGCTCTCTACTAAGAGAGATTTTTTTTTAATAGTTGTCTAGTGCATGCTAAAAGGGGAGGGGAAAAGATGCAGTTATTCAGATCTCATTGTATGGCCCTGCCTCTGCTATCTTAAGAATTCTACATGGTACCTTTTTCCTTTTTTTGGTTTGTCTTTCTGCACCTTATTCAAAGTCAGAGGAGATTAAACTTCATACTTTCTCCTGCAGTGTTAACAGCTGTGTTTAGGAACATCTTTTCACCAGTCATGGCCTTATTCACAGACCGTTTCCAGTCAGACAGCTTCCTCATACTGATTAATAAAATATGTCTTCAAGAGCAGAAGGGCTCATTAAGATTTATGTAGTTAGTATTTCTTGCTGTTGTAGGACTTCCAGGCCTTTAAATGCATATGCGTACAGGCACATAGGGATATGTTCCCAGAAGTCCATCAGAAGTCTACAAGAAGATAATCAGACTTAAGTCTTCAGTCCTAAAGACTTATGGATAGATTGACACTACCTTTGAGGGTACCTGTTGCACTAATAATCTCACTCAAATTCCCCTTTCTTCCCTCTGTGCCACATATGTACTGTTTTGTTCCCCCTTATTTCTGGAGAAAGGGGCTAACTTTCTATGCAGGATGCTAACCAAAGGTTGGTTAATCAATTTTTTTGTCTCTTTGGAGTAAAGCAAAGATTTGGGAATTTGCTTTAATAAGCCTTCTTTTGAAACAAAACAGAATTTTTCTAGGACAATGACTAGGAAGTTTGTTTACCAGTGATT